CCACCACCACCACCAACAACAACAACAACAACAACACAAACACACACAACAGCAAGCACTACTCTTAGATAATATCTCACTATGTAGCCCTGGGTAGTCTGAAATTCAATCAGTCCTGCCTCAACCTAAATGCTGGGATTACAGTCCTGCACCACCACAAGAAGATCTTAACATGGCATATCTGGGTAAACGCCAGTGGACAAAACTGCCAGTGAGCCACTGTCCAGAAGGGCTGGGCATCCAGAGATAAGAGAACAGGAAGACATTGACTGGGCTACAAGTAGACAACAGCTACAAAGTAGCTGTCAGTCTGGCCTCCCTAGGGAGTCAATAGCTACAACTTTATCACCTTTGCTGACCTAAGTTCTAGTTAGTTTCTAGGTTTTTAATCTTTCTTTTCTTTCCAGTTACTTTAGCATACAAATTATTTTTTTAAACAACAGAGAAAAGCATACAATTAAAAGAACCACCCCCATTGAGTCCTGGTCACCCAAGATAACCAAATTAAGCAACACTGTTTCCAGCCTTTGAGTCCAGATGACATCTTCACCTCAGGTCTCACTTTTTAAAGTACTGCTCCACACTTAGTGGGTTTTATTTAATTAACTTAGAGGCTTTACCCTACGATCATCAATAAGGCTTTGTTTTCTTCCTTTCTCTCTTTCTTTTTCTTCTCCTTCTACATTTATTTATTTGTGTATGGGATGTGTGTGGGCGTGCACGTACCGCGGTACATTAGAGGTGTCAAAGGACAACTTTCAGGAGTCCATTCTCCTTCCATCATGTGGGTCCTGGAGATCAAATGAAGATCGGCGGGCTTGGCAGAATCAATGTTCTTGTTTTCCAGATCCGTTACAGATGAAGTTCAATAATATTGTTAAAGAGAATAAACAAAAGCAAAGGAAAGTGAAAAGGAGTCAGGAATGGGAGGAAGAAAGCAGAGAAAATAGGGATGGAGAAAAAGTCAGAGAGACTGGCTCCGCCTCCGAGCCCACCTCCAGATGCGGCCCCGCCCTCGACCGCAGGCTGCAGTGCCGCCTCCGGCCACCAGGAGCCGCCCCTCGAGGCAGTTTGCATCCCGCACGTTCCGCGGCCCCTCTCTCCCGCCGGGTGCGCCGGTCTCCCGCCCTTCCGCCACCGCTCTCGCGCTTCGGCCGCG